CTAACACTTCAAGTTGGATGACAGTTAATTTGATAAACAAGTTATTAAAAATAATGAAAACAAACAGCAATTGAAGCCAATACTTTTAGGTAAACATATCTGATTCAGTTTAAAATGAGTCTTTTGTCTATGACAATGTGTCAACAAATGGTTATTTTCTGATATAAAATGAATAAAATCAGTATATCATGCCCTACATGGATTTAATTTATGCATGGTAACATGGAAACTCATGGTAACTGTCCCTGAGAAGGCAGCAGCACGGTTGTATAGTAAAACTCGAAATGTGGTAAAACACCAGGAACAGAAAATACTGCAGCAAGCTGACAACTTATATCTGACCAGTTTCAGTGTATTTATTGCCACAAAAGTATATATATTATAGCACCATCAGCTCGTATAAGCTGTCAATTGGCTTTTTCCTCCTGCGTGACATTCTTGGGCCTTTAAAATCTACTCAGTTAACCTCTGGCAACCAGAATAGCCAAAAACCATCTATCTAATATGCACAGTATAGTATAGTACAGTACAGTATTGACTTGTTTCATGGAAAAACATGCAGGACACTTCTCCTCTCACACTCATTGATGAGCTTGTGTTCGGGCCATCGTGCCTCTCTCCTCTTAGCATCCATGTGAAAATATGCAGCACTGACATCACAAGAAACAAAACCCACTGAAATGAATAACAATATATACTATTTAAAACTAGTGGCAATACTGGCTAAGTGGAAGGCAGAGCATTATTTATTAATAGTTAATAGCTAAGTGGCTGCTTGTCAATAGCACATGCCATCATACCGTCTCCTTGCATTTGATATTATTTCTTGTATTGCCACGTTTTTTGGAAGAATAATTGAGCTGCGTTGCTTATCACTGTTGTTGGCTCTGCATACAGGGCTTCGGGATAATGAATGGCTTTTTCAAAAAGGTTTAATTTGGAAAATATATACAATAGAATGCTGTTACATGAACAAAAGAACATGGCCAAAAACAACAAGCAGCTTTGATTACACTGATATTTTAGGATACTGCTGCAAGTACTCAGCCCACATGCATGTGGAAGCCAAACTCAAGTGAAAAGTATTTTTTGAAAGATTGAAAAGAGACCAATTAGAGGTTGATTGTTTTTAAGTAACACACAGTTCCACTCCTGCGTTTTAAAGGATTTAAAACATACTCAGCGACCAGTTGATTATTATGTATGAATGCAAAATATGGCATATTTGGTAAAATTATGAGGTTTAAAACAAGTAACTGTGCACTGTTATTGCCTTTACTATATAACTGTGCCTATTCCTGACCAGACCAAGTCCTAATTTACCTCAGTGAGAACAACACACAACCCCCCCCCACCCCCCCCCCCCCCTCCCCTCCCCCTGCTGTGCAAAGTCTCCATCCTCCTTCTCCCTCCCTCTCAGTTCTCCCTCTCTCCTCATCTCCCCTCAGTTTGTAACCTGAATTCAGCAGCGCAGTGGACCAATCGATCACAGGGAGTCTTCTTTTTTTCATCCCAGCAATTTTCCTCTGAGGAAAGAGGGAATCATGTGAGCTAACAGTGTGGAAAATCAATGCTCCACTGGCATAGAATAACTTGGAGTCTGGCTGGCAGAGAGCACTGGGCTCCATGAGGCCAGTTTGAATGATAAAGCCACCACACGTCCCGTCTCTCATCCTGCATGATATGCAGCCGCCGCTGCCGAACCACACTTACTCTCAATAGTAGGTTAACAGTTTTATTCCCCAAATCCTGTGGATTTATGTGTTCGGGCTGTGAAGCTCTGTGTGCATAATGGCTGTGTGAGTGTGACTGTGCCTACTGCATTCATGTTTGTGTAAGTGTCAGTATTGTATATGTATCACAGGTTCAATCCAAGTCCAGTCAATAGAAATTTACAAGCTTTATTTTTTTAATAACAACTGGGCTTACCTTTAAGGATAGAAGTCTTAAATTATGTACAAACTATTTAGAATGTATTTGTTTGATAGAATGGTGCAGCCGTTCAAAACATGTGGTTCAGAGGTTTGAAATGACATCACATAGATTCCCTTGGAACAAAAAAATGTAGACATTAAATATTTTTTTAGGCAAACAAAGAGGAGAGAAATGGCTGTAATTTCTAATCTAATTGGAAGAAATATATGTCTCACCATCTCAGAATCCACTATCAAGTGTGTAGAACGACACTTCAAAGCAAGTAAGCAGCGTTATAAATTGAGTGGAAACAGTTAGTCACACTGACAGTTTTCATAACAGTACTGTCCCAGGTACACCGCAATGTGTGCCTGTGTGTGTTTCCTTTAAACGGCACGCCACCCTTTCTTCAACACCCACATTGACCCACATTGGTTGGATGGGACTCTCGGTAAGGTCTCTTCTTTTTGATCTGCCCAGATGCTGAGAAAGAGATGAAACAACTAGCAAGCGCATAAACAAACAGATAGATGAGACGGATAGAAGCAATGCTTTGAGTGTTGATTTAGTTTACTTATAGTTTTTGGAAAGTGTATGCCTATCAATGTATATTACGACGCGCCACAATCAAGCGAGCTGCCGGTCTTTCATTAAGAGCTCCGTGTTGTAACAAAGCACGGATCCGCTTGGGAGACGCTAGTCACATCTCGTCTTGCCAATTACACTTTGCACGATTCCTCCCCCAAATTAGGATGAGCCAAGATGGAAAATGATTCTTGGCATGTCGTGGGCCCTAATTATCCATTGAACAAATGGAAATATCAATGATGTTGTGTTCTTAATCCACCCGCAGACAGAGAGCAACAAAGCGCACTGACAGCTTTCTGGCTAGCGAGATAAAATGCGAGAGAGTCCAACAGATTGTTGTGATGAGCAGCATGTGAGCTTCAACATATCGTTAAAGTATATTTTTGGCCGATGCAGCTTTCTAACTTCATCGTGTTGCTTTGAGGATAAAATGGTCTGAATCATATTATAAAGACATCATGAACACTAAACTCCTTGGTGCTGTGGGAGTGACAAACACCAGGAAAAAAAAACAGCCTTGTATGGTGGGAAGTTTTGTATTGTGAGGTTCTCTTGAGCAGAACTTGAATCATGAGAACATTCTTGGAGGAAAGATGGGAAAAAACAACCTCTTTGCACAGATTGATAGAAGAAAATATCAGCAATCCAACATCACTTCCACTGTGCGACACAAACACATCTCAACAATGCAGCTAACTTGACAAATGTTGCCTTGGAATTCTCAAACACACACCTCAATGAGACAAACAAACATTATTTAAAAATAAACTTTAGATATGTTGCACATCTGCAAATTTGACTTTATAGGAATAGCAGTAAAATAACATTACCATAAGCTTGGTGCAATGCATGCATAATAGATTGTTGTTTTCACTCTGCATATGGTAGGAGCTGGATTCGCTTCAAAGTGCACCAAATTTGCATGATTCGATGTGAGGGATTCTGGGATTAGAGAACACCACGTCCTCCCCCCACCCCTCTTTCACTCAGCTATAGAAAGGTATCACATTCCCACAGATGGTGGGGGAACATTGTGAAAATATCGCCATTACGATACAAAAGAGTAAGCAAACTGAGAAAATAAAACAGTAACAGTAGTTTTTCTTTCTCTAATTTTGACACATGCACTCAATAACAAAGATATCAACTAATTACTATAAAGTAGTAACTCATTACAAAAAGGTTTTGAGGTTTCTCTCACGCTTAACAGTATTCACAAATTGAAATTGATGTGGTCAAAGATTTATCACGTCTGCCTTTCTGCCTCGACAATAAAGAGACGAGTACTCTTGTACAGCTGCTGGTTGCTGACATCTCTCACCCTTGTCTTCCATCACTTAAAACTGACAGAAAACAGAGAGAGAGGAGAAATGCCTGTTTGGCTGGAGACAAGCCCAGGAGGCTGCTGCTGAAAACTGTCTGGCAAACACGAACAAACTGAAACACACGAGTATTAACGACACACAGAGCTGCGGTATTTATGAAAATACAAATTTAACAAGGAGGAGTGAACTGCTTCTCTGCAATGCTCGTGAATCTCTCTTTTCTTGCCTGTTGTCTTGGCGCTGTGCGTTCCCGGATGACGTGAACTGAAGGCATATGTCACAAGCAACGACGCTTTCACGGCACTGTGTACTTTTATGCAAATTGCATGCCCATCCGTGATGAGCAGCCCCTCTTCTCACCAGATAACCTGATTGTAATTTACATCAGGGTGAGTTAGGTGAACACCACGCGCGTTGTCACGCGATTCTACTACCTCCTGGTTTTGCCCATTTCTTGCGGAGAGACAATGTCAGCAAAGAAAGCTGAAGAGAAGGTTTTGTTTATGCTGGTCTCCTGCAGTGCCGCCTTCTATTTCTGCTTATCAGACCAAACTGAATGGATTACCAGCGAGATGACGTGGGGTGAGATTAGCACAGGCCCAAGCACACGTCATTCTGATCTGTAAACAGACATCTGGCTGTGGATGCAGGTAGATAGATAGACGGATAGATAAACAGGTAGATAAATTTATTTGAATGAAAAGTCACTTTAATTTAAATGATCCTAACAACACCAAGACTGAGTCTACAACCATCGAATGCAGCTCCGCAATGCCGTGCTTTGACCTAAATGCAAACATGATCACAATAATGTATACACGTATTGTCGACTTTGCTTAGCATGCGAACATTACCTGATTAGAGCAAGAAACCACGTTCAGTTGAGGCTGATGGAATTTGTTGTTGACCGGTTAAACTTTTTCCCTGGTGATGACACATGAACACGTAACGCCAAAGTTATTCACGCTGATTCTAATTCTATGGCAATCCATTGAATAGTTGTTGGTTCATTTCAATTAAAAATGCAAGTGTCGATTTCAGGGCTCTTTTCTAGAGCAAAAGCTTCAGGGGATCACTGAAATCAGTAGGGTTCATCCTCGGAGGACCATGAATTTCTATACCAGATTTCATGAAAATTCTTCCAATGGTTGTTATTTTATTTTTCTCTTTCAGTCTGGACCAAAGTTGCCACCTCCACAGCCACATCGCTATCAGCGCTGAAAACAAAGCGGCTCGTCATGAGTCCATTCACTTCAGGTTTACAGTGGTGCTCTCGAGATGCTTTCTTTGCCAAAGTATTGCAATTTTAACATTTTTAAATTCAAGAATAAACATCTAAAGAGGGTTTTTTTAATTTAGTTTTCTTGTTTAATGCAACAACACTGCAATTCATCCCAATACAGCTTGTTTGAAGTTGAATATTAGTATATTAATATTAGTGTGCGGCCTTCTGGCAGGTGGTGGAGGATCTTGTGATGTTCCTAATAACGCCACGTCTGGACGGTCCGGACCATCAGCTGAGAATCAGGTGCTTACTAAATATTTAGGAGGATGAAAGCTTCCTGCTGGGCAAAGGCACTAAGAGCTCAGCTCAGAGCTTCTTCTCTGTGTCTCAGTGGTGGAGTCTGTGAATGTACTATTTGGATTTTGTACTCGTACGTCACGTGCAGTTTTCTATTTTATGTTGCTTTATACTTCTGGTCCATAAAATGTACTTTTTCCTCCCCTACATATATTTAAGAGGTTTAGTTAATATACATATATCTTTAAAGTATATAAAGTATGAATGACATAGATAACAGTATACACTTAATGGTGCTTCTTTTGATAATTGTATGTAGTGTACATTTAGCCAGTGACAGTTCTGTACCTTCAGTGAAGTAACATTTTGAAGTGACGACTTGTTAATGTTTAAACTGTCATTTCTTTCACAACTGGTGTCTTCGGCAACATCCACACCAATATCTATTGGTGTGGATGTTGCTTTCTATTTAATATCTTTCTATTTATTTATATTTATTACTCTTGTTCCCACGTTTAGACCCGACGTCCAAGTTTCACCAGTTTTCTTTTTTTCCTAAAACACTAACGATTGAGAGCCGCTTGAATTTGAATAGCATTAGTCCGGTCAGAAACAGAACCACAGAAACATTTTTCAGGTAAACCTTTTAAAACATTAGTGGTGAGAGACGTGTTCATCACTTCCGGTGTTTCATTTTTCAACATTAAGAACTAAATATTTTTCGCTCACTAATTCTGTGTTCGTTGCACTGCTATTAGCCCCCTGACTGTGCTGATGTCTTTGACCTGTGTGTAAACAATAATAAAATGTTGAATCAAGTGGTATGAATCTCATTAAGCACCAACATATTGTTAATGATAAAACCTCTCATATTTTAATTGAGTGTGTTCTGCGGTCTGTTTGCCTTCTACACAGTGTGTTGCTGAATCAACACTGATTAAATTCCCCCAGAAACGATTATACTTAATTAAATGGATGCAATTATAGTAAAAGCTTGATCAAATGATGGCTGACAGTCAAATATGCTGACATGTAATTGAAAAAGTCCCCTTTCTTTTGCTCGCCACTGTCCCTGTAATTTGAATCGGTTTAAAAACAGATCGGGTTTCCGCCAGCAACAGGGGAGTAGATGATACTTAATCAACTAATTGACACAGCGAAGACCTTTTCTAGTGTGTGTTCAGTAACATCAGGCCTCTCTCATGTTTAACGCTAAATTATTCAACATGAGGTTTTGCTTCCAAACCAACTTAATGTTTCAGCAGATGATGACCGCATCAGGCAGCAAAGGTTAAAAGTTCAACCGAAGTAAACCGGAGTAAAAGTTACAGTTTTGTGGGAATATACCTGTTGTGAATCACAAACACTTCTGTGAATATGATATCAACCGGATGCCCCCCCGGATGGCACAAGTGGACATAAAAAGTGTCATTGATCAGCTATAGTATTAAATGTTATTACTCGTCAGGCTCCCCGGATCAAAGGCAATTATTCATAATTCATCTAAAATCCTGTGGTGTCGCTCTGCACTACAAAAGCAACAGAGAACACTGAGTACAATTTAATGGATTACCATTTTTTTCCCCCCTGTGCTTCATGACACAATGACACAATTACATTAAAGCTTATTTTTCGAGGCGGGAAAAGGAGGATTGGGAGACAGAAAAATAAGACGGATAATATTGCTCTCTTGTATTTAACTTTGACAAACTTACAGGCTTGAGGCGTAACCGTTTGCCACTCCTTTGCCCCCTGCTTCACAGAGTGGCCCTGTATACTGTAGCTACAGGTCATTGTTGCCGTGTAGATGAACTAAGTGACAATAATTGAGTTAAGAGGGGAAACAAATGATGTCATGGGTGCATGAAGTGGAAAGAGTCGACTGATTTATTTTCCAAAAACAATACATGCCAGAGCAAATCAGTTTTATTAGGAGGGGTTGGGTGGGGGGGGGGTTCAAACTGTAGTTTTGGTTCACTGGGCTTCACCGCGGTGCCACGGAGAGTGACTGTGCACCAAAGGCAGGACAATACGTCACTTTAAGCTGTGGTTGGTCACCAGCGACGAGTCAAGGAAGTGATATGGGAATTTTTCATAGCGTTTTACTTACATGAAGTGAAGGCTGCAAGGCTACTTTTCCTTGTAGGGGAATATTTATACTTATATTCCCCTACAAGGAAAAGTATTGCAATCAAAACATTTATTTTAAATTGATTGTGTGTATTAAAAGCAAACATGGAAACGTCTTACAGAGTTGATTTAACATGTATTGAGATGATTTTTTTAGGACAAATGTATTCATCATTTCGATAAATTCTCTAACAGTGGGATATGATTGGAATATAACAAAGTATTTAAAAATCTTAATCATCAAGAGGAATTCAAGCTGTCAAGCAGATGTAGTGGTGCAGATGTAAAATCCAAATATTGAAAATGTTATTAGTATTTTGTAGGCAACAGCTTTGTGATGATGTCACTACAATAACTTATCCTGACTCCATATTAATAGTGGTAGACCCATATTTCAAAACTACACAAAGCTCAAAAAGCATTTTGTGTTGAAATGTAGTGGAATCTGTGCCTGAAATAACAAAGACGTAGTGCACACTGCTTCCGACGCCCCTTGACCTGCAGCACCGGTTAGTAGTTTTACAGAATCAACCCAAAGACAAGCACTAATGGTGTGAAATAAGCCTTAAAGACAAATCGAGTTGTTGACATTCAGCTAGAGGGAACAGACTGATCCAGCGTTGAAAAAACAACATAGGAATGAGTAGTGACAAAGGTTCTGACTGATCTTGTCCTTCATCTAATTGCGCGGGGGATGAAAGTGGCCACAATCATTTCCCTATAATGGCACAGATGCATCCGATTCACAGACTTTGCAACTTCTGTTGAAGTTCACTTAGTTTTGCCTGAATCCAAGTTCTGTTCATGCACTTGTTTTTTAGATTTAATTTGCCAACTAGGGCACACACACTACGTATGTAAGTACGTAGGAGAAACACGATGCAGCTCCATAAATGGCGCAAATGCAAAAAAAAACAGAAAGGACAGAAACAGAAGCAACAGAAAAAAACACGGCTGAAGTTCTCCACTTAATTTCTGACCCGAGAGACGGACAGGCGGTTAGTTCAGCATCAAGATGGCTGATGAAGGGGCTGTTTACAATTCCAAACAGTCATTTAGCAGCCACCCTTCGGTTGCTCGAAGCACAACGTAGTTTTCACTGTTTGCTCTGTTAGTCATTTTAGCTGAGAGCCGCCAACTTTCCATTGACAGGTTTAGAGTTCTTGAGAGGGAATTTAAATATGCTGTAAGCCTCAGATCTTGCACCTTTAAAGAGGAGGCATAACAAGGGGAAGTATTCTTTTTCTTACCTTGTAAAGGTTTCTGTTGCATTCATTTTGGATCTACGCTTTGTTTGTTTTTAATTGGCATCATTACTGAAGCTACAGCGTGTTTTATCTTAAGGAAATATCTTGAAGCCCACAGTCGGGTTACTGCACCGTTTTCAAAAGCAGTTCGACCGGTCAAACGCTTCCCGTCAGTCATCATTTTCTCACGTCTGTGGAAATGGCTCAACCTCCAAAGGCAGTTTAAACTTGATCTTGTCACATCTGTTGAACATTTGAGCTGCATTACAGAAAAATTCAATGTCCTTGTTTTGGCGCACTCGAGAGACGAAGGCATGCTGAGGAGGCAACTTCTGTCCGTGAAAAGTTTCCCTTGCTGTGTTGAGGTAGAGTATGCCTCATTATCCCAGATGACTCATGTGGTGCGTTTGAGTCACACTGAGGTTCTCGATATAAACTCATTTCCATGCTAATACAAGATGGGTAGAGTGTTAAGACAGCTTTGCGTTTTCCCTTTTTGTCTCCACCTTTTGAGGGACATTTCTCAAACTGGCTCAGAAATGAGTTCATCTCTAGAAAGCTTGATGTGAATGACTTTGTGGGAGAAACCAGAAACTCTGGCAAGAAGAAGAAGAAGAACTACGCTTAAAGGGAATGGCAGCAGTAGATATCACAGCAAATGATTCGCTGTGAAAACAGTCTTTGCCTCGGGCAACGGTGACTAATGCATTTAGCTGCGATTAAGCAGCCTATATATTTAATGTGGAAACTGGTCATGTCTTACAAGAAAGAAAAAGGGCGAGCATTGATGTTGTGTTGGTCAAAAAGCTGCTTATATAAAAATCATTTTAGCCGATCCCGGCTAAAATGATTCCTTTAGAGCGTAAATTAGTCATTTAAATACAGCTTTTTGTTGTGTTCTCAGAGGAAGGAAGTGCTTTTGTTTGGAAGACGGGGATGCACCAATTTACTGTTTACGTGTTATTGAAGTCTAAGCCTTTTCCCTTGTTCATCACAATCAAATTAGCAGAACAAAAGGACGTCTAATAAAAGAGGTTTGCGCTCCGCTCAATGTATGGCCACAAGGATACCATTAATGTGAGCTCTCTCTCCCACACACTCATTTAAATAAGTGACTGCATAATGCACTTCACTTCAAATACAACTGGGAAAAGGCAAGTTTATGGGTTATAGCCTGGACAAAGCCTCAGCGAAACACTGTGTGGACAAATGCACGCTGCACTGTACTGTGTATACAATGCATGAGGACATATAAAAAAACACTTTGAAAGGAAATAAGTCTTTGATGTTCTCTCACTTATAAAACAGCCCAGTGTGCGATTTTTTTGTGTAAATGTCCTGGATTATTAAACATTTGACAGCACCTTGAAATGATAGATTTTTCTTCTTGCTGTGAAACATCCAATTACGCTCCAAAAATCCCTCGAATATGCACATTAAATGCTAGATATCATATTCAAGGTGGATGATTTCAGTGTTACTTTCAAACAGAATTTATCGTACCCGAGTCAAATACCTGACGGGTGTCATTTTCCCACCTGGACGAACAGAAACGAACGAGATCAGCTGCCGTTGGACTAATACGGAGGTTAGCTGGAGACGCGTACAGGGGGGGAGAGGGACAAAAGTTAACACCATACTTGAGGGAGCTCATTCCCTCTGTATTTTCAGGTCAGTGGCTTTCATCAGATGTAATGGAGGTGGTGTTAAATTATGAATGAGGAACCACTCTGTGGACGATGAGGATGATGCAGATTATTCATCCCCGTTCCCCTGAAAGACACTCTGCCCAGCGGAGGGATTTCACACCAGAGGGATGAGGACTCTCCCAAATACTGAAGTAAGTAGATTACAGGCCGCGGCCAGCGACAGCTATCGCCATCTGGATTATGGTCTGGATCAAAGGTTCCCAAACATTTGAATGTCAGAGATTGATATACGTGCATCCCCAGGCCTCTGTACGATACGGTTTTATGTGCTTTGAGATTTTTCGCAGTAGGGGTTGATGTCATCTGGATCCTGGCCACGATCAGAGTACACTTTAATGTTAAAGGAATAACAGAACAGTTAACATGAAATATTGTTTGACTAGAATGTGTGAATTGACAAAAGGAAAGACACAGCAACAAAATATGATAACAGATGATGAGAAGTGAAGCGCGTTAGCATAATTATGCAACATTATATAAAATGATTTAGCTTTTGTGGCCGTAGCCACCGGGGGCCGCGCCCACCTTCTACTCCCCTGGTCCTATCAGGGTACCTTGCTGCGATTTTTATGGTAAATTCAAATCACTGTCAATGTATCTCTAATTTCCAAAAAGTCCTGGCAGGAGAGTTTATAGAAATAACAACCAAAAAGAGACACAGCAAGTCGATTAGCACAGAAAAGGGCCGATGATGACGACGATAACACAATATCTAGTCTCCAGAGAGTGAAAA